GCCCGCCGCCCGCTCTCTTACCTTAATAGTCCCGTCCATTTGGCCAAGTCTGCAGCCGAGCCCCCCAATATTCCACACATTGACCCGGTTGCAGCCTGACCTCGCAGCCCCTTCGGATCAGCCGGGCGCGGCCTCTGCGGCCCCTGGGCCCTCCCTGCGCGCCCCCTGCGAGCGCCCTGCCCGCGCTCCCCTGTGCACGTTTGTTGTTGTAGCGGATTGAAAAAGAGACAGTTTAACCGGATGAAACTTTTTTTTCAGCTAATTTTGGGAAGTGACTTCACTTTGCAAATCGGGAGGAANTCCTGGAGAGCTCCTGGCGCCCGCCGAGCGCCGGGACCAGCGCCACCCTAGGCCACCTAACCGCGCCCTCTAGGGTCAAACCCCTGGCGCTAACCCCGACGCGACGGTCAAGCCCCCCGGCGCCAAGGCCGGAGCCGCCTACGCAATGCCACCCGGGCGGCCCCCAGGAAACCTACACTCGGGCGGGACGTTCCCTCCACGCCGGCCGGCAGGTCTCCAGAGCGCAGCACCCAACATCGCGGTCCAGACGCAGACTTTTCTTCCGGTGAGACCCCGGGGCCCGAGCTGCCGACCACATCCCCACTGAGGAGGCCCGGCCCCCCCGCCCGGAGGCCCCGGCCCCCCAGCAGTGCGGCCGCGCGCTCGCGTTGGGGCAGCCTCGGGAGTCCCGGCGCAGGGAGGGGAACCCCGGGTGCTGTCGGCCTGACTCCCTTCGCCCCGACCTCCAGAGCAGATTACCTTGTCCACGCTCTCCAGACCACGCTTTGGACCTTTTCACTTTTATTNTCAGCTAATTTTGGGAAGTGACTTCACTTTGCAAATCGGGAGGAAGTCCTATCTGTCTCTCCTCTCTCCTCTCTCTCTCTCTCTCTCTCTCTCTCTCTCTCTCTCTCGCTCGCTCGCGTCTAGTGCTCTCCCCTCTCTGCTCTGCCGTCTTCCCTCCCCCCAGACTCACTCGGCCCCCCCTCCGCCGCTCCTGCTTTTCGCATCACACACACTGTATAAATATACGCGGAGATGCCCNATGGGGGAGTAGGGGGGGGTTGGGTGGAATGGGGGCCGGGCCGACCCCCCCCACCTCCTGTCTGCTTCTCAATCCAGGGGTCTGCTCCGGGGCTCCCCTGGGACCGCCACATCTGGTTACCGCTAGCGGGGTCAGTCCCCCCCTTTGCCTGGGGCCACCAGTTCTGGAGTTCAATTAAAAGAAATCGGGCTTAACCCTTTCCTCCCCTCGGCCGCGCCACCCGCCCTCTCACTCTCCCCTTCAGAGTTTCCACATGCTTTCCAGAGAGGAGAGAGGTTAAAGGGAAAGGAAGAATGAATTACATCCTTTCAAACCCCAAATTGTTTCCTTTTCAGCCCAGACTCTGCCGACCTTCAAACGACAGCAGGGCTTTCAGGAGGGTGCGGGGAGACCGCTTCCCACTGGGACAAGACCAGAAACCTGGCTCGCGCGCGCACACAGGCGCCCGAGTGCGCNTGCTCTCCCCTCTCTGCTCTGCCGTCTTCCCTCCCCCCAGACTCACTCGGCCCCCCCTCCGCCGCTCCTGCTTTTCGCATCACACACACTGTATAAATATACGCGGAGATGCCCAGATACATTCATGCGCCGCGCACACAGGATACTTGCTCCTGAGAGATAAGAGCGAGCCGGGAACAATGCCCGGGTCCGCGCCCTGATTCCCGCAGGCTGCATCCCCCCTCGACACCTTCCCCCAGAGCCCTAACCCAAACGCCTCCGGCTCCTTCCCTCTCCCCGGGCGGCTGGCCGAAGGTGGCCCTCCTGACTCACTCGCTTTCCGTTTCTTCCCACAGATACGTTCATTAATGTTTTTTCCAGCCGGAGTCAAACTTTTTGGGGGGGGATGGGGGGGCGGGAGAGTCTACTCCGGCTGGGGATAAGCTGGAGCCTACCGCCCGGGAAGATCCAGACTCAGACCGAAGCAAACTAACCATTACAAAACGCATCCAGTGGGAAGTTTTCCACTCGGCGCTGGGCGGCC